AACGCGCAATGCATATGCATTGGGGTTTGATGGACCGGTACTGTTAGGGTGTTCAGCCACTAAGCAGGAGAACGATTAGGGTTCTCAACTAAAGCCTTTAGTTCTGACACGAACATAGCCGCAAGGCAGCGGGTGAAGCGAAGTGGAGGCCCATTTATTTGGATCAATTACCCTTCTACCATATTTTACCGACTGAAGCACAAATTTTAGTCGAAACCCCAACCTGGAGTACCAGGAGACTGGACCTCTACTGACCTCTACCCTTCGACCCTCCAGGCACGATTAGATCTCCTTGACAAAAACCATCCTGTGTAGCTCCTTGGGTTAGAGAAGTGCACAAGCCATCACACCACGTCAAGATGCAATCTCGTCGTGATGGCATACATGCAGAAGGCTCGAATGGCGTTGGGCAACTTGAGACATCACTGGCGCTTTTGCGATATCCTTTGAATGGTCGAGTGCATTAGATATACTAGCGATGCTATATGGTCCAGAGACTGGTTCGTTAGGGGAGTGCAATACAGATAGATTGTCGGTGTTCGAACACCGCTGTGTACATCGCATTGCACGAGTTTGGTGGAAAAACAGCAAAACATTACACACCTGTAGCCGATCTTCTAAGTGTACGTTAGTCTCCGCAGTGCTTTATTTAGAGCATCGGTTTTTACATGTTTATGCGCGATTCGGTCAATGAACCATGATAAACGGTCAGCGGACGAGAAGAAAACCTGTTCCTGTGTGTGGGAGTGTGGGGGGGGGCTATTTCATGTATCACCCCCACTGGTCAAAGTGAATCGTGTGAATAAACGTGAATGCGCTTCATGTCCCGTTTAATGGAGATCACGCAATGAACGCACTGTTGTGCGATTTAGTTTCGGCTGTTTGGTGTATTTTGGCTATTCACCTGATAGAGGGAGGAGAAATGAAAGCTAGGACCACAATCAAAATAAAGATAAGGATAGCAAACGAACCAGATCGATGCAGAGAGTGAAAGTGAATGCAAACACAGTACTACTTACGGTACTTTACTGTCACCCAGTGTTTCTAACCATTCAGTGGGCATGAGAAGATCCCTAATCGAGAAGTCACAATGCAACCTGTGACTACGGGTTTTCACACCCTTGTGTCGGCTTTTTTCTGACTACCTTAAGCTTTCTTCCACCTACAACGGGCCTTGGAAAGTAGCGCGCGCCGAGAAAGCCTATCTGGTGGCAAACCCCAGTCGCCGCAATCTATGTGAAGATCAAAGAGTTGCATCAGTGCGCAACTATGTCATGACATATAAGGAAAATTACTGTTCATAAGCCGTTTTTTTGTGCCTAGCCAAATCATACTGACTGAAAAAAAAATTGGGAATAGACGAACTTAAAAACATGAAAGATAAACTGGATTAAGTGGTTCGAAAAAGGGATGAACATCTGTCGTCGTTTTAGAAACCTCCAAGGCGTATTTATATAAAAAGAAATAAACTGATTGTCGATCCGGGCACATGTGCAACTGCGCAAACTCTATACTAGCCCAACTGTTCGTATACTGATTTGGTTCCTGCCAGCGTGAACTTGGGGTTAGCAAGCTTTCAGCTGGCAATTTGATGAATTATATGGACGGAAAATAATCCTTTTAAGGTTGAATAGTGCTGCGATAGTCATCACCATTAACAGCTAATTGCAACGGCAAAAACCAATACACAAGATCGATCGAAGTTGAATGTGGCTGAGCGACACGACCATCACGACGAGACTGCACCTTGACGTGGTGTGATGGCTTGCGTGCCTC